CTGAAGCCTGCAAATGTGGGGGGACTAGAGCTCAAAGTCCTAGTCACTTGGGACACTGTTAGAAACATGCCTCCTTGTGTTCATCCAGGGATGTGATTATGGCGGTGTCTCACCAAAAAGGACCAGGGTTAGGAGAGTCAGGCGCTATGGGGTGGCCAAGGCACAGAGGGCTGCTCACCAACCTGGTCAAAACCAGTGTCAAAGCTCCGTGTGCAGCCCTGATCCTCGGGCTCTGGCGCAGGGGGTGCCATGGAATTCCTTGAAGACTGGGGTCAATGAAAACTAGGCAAGGAGCCAGGGTCCAGCCAAGTTCAGCGTATATTCTATCTCCTGTGAGCAAACCAGAAAATGAAGGCAAGCCCATTCGCCAGCCATGGATAGAAATACAGAGCTAGGGGCAAAGGTTCCTACTCTGTGTGGCAAAGTGACCCGGGCTGCCCTCAGCTCAGCAGAGCAGCTAGCTGGCAGTGGGCAGCAAAGCTAACCCCAGACGGGTTCCTGCCACCTGGTGCCAAGGTACCCTGGAGTGTTCCTCACCAGTGTGAGGCTTCTCTTGGGATTTGGAGGGTGTCAAATCTGCAATGTTAGGCCAAGCCTCAAAGAGGGAGGGCTAGACATAATTCTCAGTCTAGTGGATGCCGCATGGGAGGCATGCAGTATGTACTGATGAGGCCGGGCGTGGTGGCTCACGCCTGTGAGCCCAGCACTCTGAGAGGCCGACCAGCCTGGCCATCATGGTGAGTTCCAGACCAGCCTGGCCATCATGGTGAAACCCCATCTCTACTGATAATACAAAAGTTAGCCAGGCATGGTGGAGGGTGCCTGTGATCCCAACTGCTCAGGAGGCTGAGGCAGGAGAATCTCGAACCCGGGTGGAGGCTGCAGTGAGCCGAGATCATGCCATTGCTCGCCAGTCTGGGCAACAAAAGCAAAAGTCAGTGTTGACAAAAATACAGATAGCTAGACAGACAGATGGATAGATAATAGATAGAGATCTGGAAGATACACAGAGAATAAGTGACAGTGTCCAAACAAAAAGTGTCCTTTCTGCCTTGCACAATGCTGCCCCCATTCCGAAAATTCCCTTTCCACTCCCCCGCAGCCCGTGTGCATTGTAATCCAGCTCACTCTCTTTCACCAAGGACTGCCAGGCAGAGCTCACAGGGCACAAAGCTGCTGTTCTCCCTCCCTGGCCAGTGGCAGACATCACCAAACCCAGCTGCCCTTCCCACCAAACCTGCCCGAGGCCTCAGGCTCCTTCTCATCACGGCAGTCCACGCAGCCGCCACCTGCCAGTTGGTGTTAGTTACAGCCACCTGAGGCTTGTTTCAATTCCATGAGAGAGGTGCAGGTCAACTGTGACCCTGGGGCTGAGGTCAAGTCAGCCGCACCCATTTGTCTGGGTATCACCTGTGCTGCACTCATAATACAAAGGCCAAGTCAAGCAGTTAAGACAGATTGTGTGACCCAGAAACCCTAAGATATTGACCCCCTGGCCCTTTACAGGAAAAGCCTGCTGCCCCTACTTAGAAGCAAAGCATGCTCAAATTTGTATTTTTTCCCAGAATAAAATAGTCATAAACTTATAAATAGGGTTTCTTAAACTATTCACAAAAAGAAACACAGAGTTGTTATCCAAACTAAAAAAGAAGAGAACAGGCCGGGCGCGGTGGCTCAAGCCTGTAATCCCAGCACTTTGGGAGGCCGTGGTGGGTGGATCACGAGGTCAACAGATCGAGACCATCCAGGTCAACATGGTGAAACCCCGTCCCTACTAAAAATACAAAAAATTAGCTGGGCATGGTGGTGCGTGCCTGTAATCACAGCTACTCGGGAGGCTGAGGCAGGAGAATTGCCTGAGCCCAGGAGGCGGAGGTTGTGATGAGCCGATATTGCGCCATTGCACTCCAGCCTGGGTAACAAGAGCGAAACTCTGTCTCAAAAAAAAAAAAAAATACAAAAACTTAGCTGGGCATGGTGGCGCGTGCCTGTAATCCCAGCTACTCAGGAGGCTGAGGCAGGAGAATTGCCTGAACCCAGGAGGCGGAGGTTGCGGTAAGCCGAGATCGCGCCATTGCACTCCAGCCTGGGTAACAAGAGCGAAACTCCATCTCAAAAAAAAGAAGAGAACAGGGAAAACCTAACTATTATAGATGTCAAATCCCAACTCCAGGGGTGACTGTACTTTAGTTGACTCAACGTTAGTTTGAAAACTTGCTTTTGCTCTCTCCCTGGCTTCGGAAACCTTCCCAGGCAGCGAGTTCTCTGTTGTCGGTGTTCAAGGCTATGGGGAGTTGTGCCAAGGAAGCTCACCCTCCACTGGCCTTCAGCAGGAGGATGCCAGGATCGGGGGTTGCTAAGAGCCCTTCCTGTTCTGGCACCTCCTCAACTCCCCCTCCCCAGGAACATCAGAGGGAGAATGAAGAAGGAGCGCACAGCCTCACCTTCTCCATCTGCCTGGGAAGCTGGCAACATCTGCCTCTCAATTAGGATGCGGTTACCGGGGTGACGGGGTTGGCTAGAGGTTGGTCCCGTAGGCTCCTGGCTCCTCTGGGGCGGCACCCGATTCTAATGAAGAGCTAATTAGCATGAAAAGCATTGATTTAGCCTACTGCTGCTTTGTATAATCACCAGGTACTCTCCGCAGCAGCTTCAAAGCTGCCTCTCCCTTCAGAACACGTGGTTCGCATAAAGCGTGGGACTAAACCCTCCCCGTGTTTTTAAACAGTGATTTCCGCACACTCCCGAAATGAAAACACTGTAAGATGATCACATAGGCACTTTCTCGCTGCCTTCAAGGGGGAGCTCTGGCGGGCTTGGTAAATGATAGTCCCTGCCTATGTGGTCCAGACATTGGGTAAGGAATCAGGTTCCATCTTCTCTCCTGGTTCACAAACGTGAGTGTTGCCAGGAACTGGTAGGAGGCCGTGGCTGGGCTGCCTCAGCAGAGAAGTCGCTTAAACCCTCACAGTGAGGGGGGCATCTTAGCTCTAAGTAACGAAGGCATGGGGAGCCTCTAAAACAACGTCTGCATGGATTTGTTTGAATTCCTCATCCCAAATGATGATCATTCATCTCCCTGATCATCCCTGTGGAAACATTTGAGGCCAGACACCAGCTAGAAGCAAGACCAAGAAATTCAGTCTCTGGCTGACAGACTTCTGAGGTAGAGCGCTGCATGAACCATAGTTTTACGTCTGAAAATCAATCTTTGACACTGACAGGATGGCTACTAGCGGCTCCCATGTAAACCCCGCAGTAGCCAAAAACATCTGGAGACCTTAGATAGCCTCAAACCAGCCACAGTGGATGGGATTTTGCAGAGGCGTCACTTCTGAACATAGCAGGCCAGTCTGCCTTGTGGCCAAGCCCTGTGTCCCCGTGGTCCAGCGTGGTGTGCCATGTTCTCCCCAAGGGACTATCAGTGTAATAACACCATGAAACTCTCTCTCGTCTCTCTCTGGGCCTGTGTCTGGCCCCAGCATGCTTCACCCACAGGAGCACGGTAGAAGACACCAAGTGGAGCCACGATTCTAAAACTGTGACAGTGAAAGGTGAAAGGGTCATTTGTCGAGGGATTTGACCGAAGGAAGTGAATTGGAAGCCAAGAGAAAATTCCAAGAAAGAAAAGGACCTAACTGGAAAAAGCCATTACAGGTTCAGTCCCTTTCCTTTACATACGGGCTTCACAGATGAGTTTAGAATTCGTTGGAGATACTATTCATCTAGATTTCAGGGAGATACATGGCATGGCAGCCCTTCAAACACATTGGAGCGATGTATAGTTAAACATCCAGGATGACTGGAAACCATTCAACAACTCTAACCAAAGACTATATACTGTGATGAAGTGCACAGGCTCTGAACTTAATCTGCCAGGGATCGAATCCCAGCTCTGGCACTTACTTGCTAGTTATGTTTGACAAATTACTTAGGCTCTGAGTATGAGTTCCATCACTCAACTGAGTGTCTCCCTCATTAAACCAATGCGAGAATTAGTGGAGATTGTATAGGCCAGGTATGGTGGCTCACACCTGTAATCCCAATACTTTGGGAGGCCAAGGTGGGAGAGTCAGTGGAGCCCAGGAGTTTGATGCAAGCCTAGGAAACATAGTGAGATGATGTCTGTAGTAAAAACAAAAATAAAATTTAATTAGCTAGGCAGGGTGGTACATGCTTGTAGTCCCAGCTACTCAAGAAGCTGAGGCAGGTGGACCAGCTGAGGTCAGGAGTTCAAGACCACCTGGCCAACATGGTGAAACCTCGTCTTTACTAAAGATACACAAAAAATTAGCTGGGTGTGGTGGCACATGCCTATAGTCCCAGCTGCTGGGGAGGCTGAGGCAGGAGAATCGCTCGAACCCAGGAGATGGAGGTTGCAGTGAGCCAAGATCGAACCACTGCACTCCAGCCTGGGATACAGAGTGAGACTCCATCTCAAGTAAATAAATAAATAGGATATTATCCATAGAGTGCCTGGAACAGAGTGAGCATTCAGCTGTCAGCAGTGTTGTTAGCTGAGGCTGGGGGTGACTGGAACATCATCAGCCAGGGTGTCAGGGATTACAGAGAGCACACTCAAATTAAGATAATGTGAGGATGAGTGGCTTTCTAAGGGACTATGTACAAAGGTGTGGTTGAGGTTTAAAGAATCTGAAGACAGTACTATAACCCGGGGTAGCAGTTACAAAGCCGTTAGCATTCCTAAGCCTCAGGACCGAGGGGAGGGAGCAGTTATTAAAACCCAGAGGGAGGGAGAACCACAGAAAGGAGGCCACAAAGGGAAACTGTGTCTTTTGGCTGAAGGACACAGGTGACCACCCTGGGAGGAAGTCAGGGGAGTAAACACCTCCCCACGATAGCAGCCAGAGCACCCATAGGCCAAACCCAACAAGAAGCCCAGGAACAGGTGAGCCTGGCCATACAGGGCAGCTTCTGGGGCAGAAAGCGGGGTGGAGGAAGGGGACAGTGGATCTGGAGGGACAGAAAGACACCTGGTATAAACATGTTAGATTCTTGGGGACAGTGAAGTGACTACAACAGTCTTTGGGTTGACAGATACTTGACTTAAAAGCAGCAGCTGAAAACAATGATGAATAAGGACCAGTTGGCTACAAGTTCAATGTTCAGCCATTCATTGATTTATTCAGCACATGTAGGGAATGCCTGCTGTGTGTTCAGACCTGCACCAAGCATGACAGTACAGAAATAAATAGAACAAGAAAATATCCTGAGCCGAGGACATGCTGGCTTACGCCGGTGCTCGGGGAATATATGTCGAAGGTGTGAATGAATCAACTTCATTGTCATGGACTGTCTAGAATAGTCCCATTCGGACTAGGATGATTTGATGGCAGCAGTGACTAGGGAAGGGGACGTGGAGGACAGGGACTGGTGGTATCAGAGGCAGTTGCAACGCTTGCTGAAGTGGTGGAAAGGGGATTGAAAGACTTCTAGACGGAAATGCAGGGTGTCCCCAGGACTCTGACTCCCTCTGTTCTCATCTGCAAAAAGAAGCATGGCGTTCAAAAGCTTGATGGTTTCTCAAATGCCCAGGGAGGGCAAGCCAACCTCCCCTCAGCTGCCGTGGCTGGTGGGCCCAGAGCACAGGGAGGGCAGGCACTAGGCTTGTGCAAACTCCTGCTCCCAGGCAGGTGTGATCCTGTTGGGCCATGTAAGGTGGAGTCCCTGAAAACTGTCAGTCTGAAGGCCCTGGAGGGGAGATGTAGACTTCTGCCTGGGTGACTCCTAAGCCCAGCAGCAGAGCAGGGCAGGGTGTGGTCCAGGGAGTGTCAGGGTCAGATTCTTGGTCACCATCACCACCCCAGGAAATGAGAAATTCAAATGGAAAAATGAAAAAAAAAATGGGCAATTTTAGCTGATGAGAGGGCAAGTGGAGGTTTCCTGGGGGAGGACACAGAGGCTGTCTTCAGACCTCCAAACAGAGTCTGGAGGCCAGCCCAGGAACTGGGACAATCACTAACTGCACCTGCTTGGAAGCAGCACCAGTGTCCGAGAGCTACCGTGCCTCCAGCCCAGGTCTGAGGTGTGGGGGCCTCCTGAAGCCCTTTGGGAAACCTCTCCAAAGTCCTGCCTGTGCTGCAAGACATGATTAAAAGCCCAGCCCAGCCATCTACAGGTTTTATGATTTGGGGCAAGTCGGTAAACGTCTCTGAGCCTCAAAGTCTACAAATATCCAAGGGGAATAATCCTACTCCCCAGGGTGATTGTGAAGATCAGATGAACTCATTAGGATAAAATACTTAGCACAGTACCTGGCACAGAGTAGAGACCTAAAGGCTAAGGCCTTTCTCATCTTCCTTCACCCTTCTGCAAAGCATCAAGCAGTGGTTCCAAAAGCAAATGTGGCTTTGGGAGTGAGGGTGGGACAACAAGACCATCTCTGTGGCCTAAAAAGTGCACCCTGGGGACTGGAGTCCTCCCAGTTCTGCCAGTTGTCCATCCTGTCTTTGAAGTTCCCCAGGGACCATGGCAGGCCCGTCCAGGCAGGAAAGCCCAGGCAGGCTGGGCTTGGTGGCTCACACTTGTCATTCCAGCATTGCAGGAGGTCAAGGCAGGAGGATCACTCAGGCCCAGGAGTTCGAGGCCAGCCTGGGCAACACAGGGAGATCCCCGTCTCTACAAAAAAATAAATTTAAAAATTAGCTGGGCATAGTGGTACATGCCTGTGGTCACAGCTACTTGGGAGGCTGAAGTGGGAGGATCACTTGAAACTGGGAGGTGGAGGCTGCAGTGAGCCATGACCATGCCCCTGTACTCCAGCCTAGGCAACAGAGCAAGACCTCATTGAAATAAAGAAAGAAGAAAGAGAGAGAGAAAGAAAGAAGGAAAGAAAGAAAGAGAGAAAGGAGAGAAAAGAAAGAAGAAAGAAAGAAAAAGAAAGAAAGGAAAGAAAGAAAGAGAGGAAAGAAGGAAAGGAGACAGGTAGGGAAGGAAGGAAGGAAGGGAGAAAGGGAGGAAGGGAGGGAGGGAGAGAGGGAGGTGGGGGAGGGAGGGCAGGCAGGCAGGCCCAGACAGCACCCTCAGCTGGTGGAGGTCTGCAGAGTTCCAGGGCTCAGCTACCGACTTCTGGTCCCTACTTGACTCAAGGATGCTGGGGACTGAGCAGCATCTCCTTAGCCGTCGATTGCACGCATCTGGGAGCTTTTGCTTTTCATTTTTCTTTGGCTCTCTTAGAATGTCCACATCACCAGCAACCTGGATGCATTTGCTAAATGTAAATTCTCTGGGTTGTCTGAGTGAATAAGCATTCCAAAGGGAAAGCTCCTAGAATTCCTGAGCTCTGGCTGCCCTCAGAGCTCATCCAGACCAGTGAACACTTTCAGAGGAACAGACCTCTTTAAGAAAGCAGTTAAAACTCTATTCTTTCCCCCAAAAACACTCTCTCTCTCTCTCTCTCTCTCTCTCTCTCTCTCTTAAAATTTCAAGTGTTTCACAAAATCCCCAGCCATGGATTCATAGATCTCAAGTGAAGAACATTGGCTTCACCTAACCCCCTCAAGTTGCAGATGTGGGAGCTGAGGACAAGAGAGGAGAAGGGACCCGGATGGCCAAGATCACACAGGAGTTAGTGGCAGAGCTGGGAGGAATATTTTCAAGCGGCTTCCTGATACCTCCCTTGGGCTTCATGATGTTCCTCTCAACGTGAAGCATGAGGAATAAAAGAAGGAGCCTGAAAACCTTGTATCCTGAGAGGTATCACTCTGGCCAAAGGTGGGTCATTTGCATAAATCCTCACATTTACCTAAACCTGGAGAATAGCCAGGTTTCTCTCCAGCTGCCAAAGCCCTTTCTCACCACCAGGTGGCGCTTGCAGCATGCATTAGACTGGAGCTATAGACAAAACAGTCGAAAACAGATCTGACTCCCTCTCCCGATTACAGATGGGGAAACTGAGGCCAAGAGAAAGCAAAGGACTTCCTGTCCAGGAGTTATCCTGGACAATTATCTTCCTTCTCCATGATCCTCAGTTTCCCTCCTCCAACTACAGTGAGACATTTAGACTAGAATCAGTTTCCAGAGGAAGTTTCTTGGGCAAGTGTCTTGGGGAAGACAGAGTGAGGGGTTCCAAGCCTCTGAACCCCTCACTCTGTGCTGCCACAAGCTCAGCTCCATTTTACCTGTTTGACACACTTGGCTTCAATGTACAATTTCATTCAAGCAAAGGGTTATGTGGTTAAAACATTTTGAAAATCCCTGACCAGGAATTCCACACAAATCAACTCTAGGAATCTTTGTGGCTCCAAACTGGCAAAGGTGCAGGGTCCTGAAAACCTGAAGAGAGGCTGGAGGGACCCCCAGCCAGCAGGGCAGAGCTGGCATTTCAGTACGTCCCAGGTGCGGGCTCCTTCACAATGTCACAGGGGCACTAATCGAGCATCTACTTGGTACCAGGGTTAGCCCTGTGTCTGCTCGGTGCAGTCACATCTGTTATTTAACCTGCCTCTCCCAACTCTGTCGCTGTGTGTAAGGATTACCTCCCCATTTTACAGATGAGAAAACTGAGACTCAAAAGAATCTGTTTAAGAGAGGAGAAAATGAAGCAGATTTTCTCAGATATAAGATTATCTTGGTCTTCCGGTCTTTCCAGGGGAATTTAGAAATAAAACACAGGAAAACTGTGGTTACTCCCAGAGCACCCCCCACCCAGGCTGCTCCTTGTGGTCCTGCCTCTGTCTCTTGGGTACATCTCTTCATCCCTTCATTCATGCTCAGCTCCTCCCTCCCTCCTTCCCACTGTGGACTCCCTGGCCATCCCCAACCTGTTCCCCTTGACCCCAGTCAACGTTCCACAGACATGGCCCCAGGAAGCACCGATGCCTGGAGTAGGCAGGAGGCTGCCTGGACCCCAAACTCCTCTCCAGTTCACCATGTCTGCAAGCCCACCAGTAACAGTGTCAGTACTTGAGACTGAAGACTTTTCCCATGGTAAAACCAAACCTCTGGGAAGCCCCATATATATATATACATATATATATATATGTATATATATATATATTTTTTTTTTTTTGAGACGGGGTTTCGCTCTTGTTACCCAGGCTGGAGTGCAATGGCGCGATCTCGGCTCACCGCAACCTCCGCCTCCTGGGTTCAGGCAATTCTCCTGCCTCAGCCTCCCGAGTAGCTGGGATTATAAGCGCCTGCCACTGTGCCCAGCTAATTGTTGTGTTTATAGTAGAGATGGGGTTTCACCATGTTGATCAGGATGGTCTCGATCTCTTGACCTCGTGATCCACCCACCTAGGCCTCCCAAAGTGCTGGGATTACAGGATTGAGCCACCGCGCCCAGCCTGAAGCCCCATATTTTAATCTAAAGTCAGACATTTGAATTCCAGACTGAATGAGTATCTGATTTTTTTCCAGAGAGCAAGGAAAGAAGAGAAAAATTGCATGAAGGCCAGGCATGGTGGCTCACACCTGCAATCCCAGCATTTTGGGAGGTGAGGTGGGAGGATCGCTTGACCCTAGAAGTTTGAGACCAGCCTGGGCAACATAGTGAGACCACATCTCTACAAAAAAAATTTTTTTTTTAAAAATAGCCTGGCGTGGTGGTCTACACCTGTAGTCTCAGCTATTCGGGAGGCTGAGGTGGGTGGATCATCTGAGCCCAGGAATTTCAGGTGGTCATGAGCTATGATCATGCTACTGCACTCCATGCACTCCAGCCTAGGCAACAGAGCAAGAGCTTGTCTCAGAGAAAGAAGGAAGGAAGGAAGGAAGGAAGGAAGGAAGGAAGGAAGGAAGGAAGGAAGGAGAGAGGAGGGAGGGAGAGAGAGAGAAAGAGATAGAAAGAGAGAAAGAGAAAGAAAGAAAAGAGAGAAGAGAGGGAGGGAGGGAAAGAGAGAGAAAGAGAAAGAAGAGAAAGAGAGGAGGGAGGGAGGGAAAGAGAGAGAGAAAGAAAGAGGGAGGAAGGAAGGATGGAAGGAAGGAAGGAAGGAGGGAGGGAAAGAAGGAAGGAGGGAGGGAAAGAAGGAAGGAGGGAGGGAAAGAAGGAAGGAGGGAGGGAAGGAAGGAAGGAAAGAAGGAAAGAAGGAAGAAGGGAAGGAAGGAAGAAAGGAGAAAAATTACATGAAAATTCCTGGAAAAATTACATGAAGGTGAAGGGAGGCAATGTGCACAGTGCAGATACCATGGGCACCAAGGATGTCATCATTTACCCATGGAGCTCTCTCCTCCAAGACTCTCACATTCCTATATGTGTGTGTTCAGGGCCAGCTCCCGTGCTGGGTGCAGCTAAAGAGATCAAGTTCTCCCACCCTCGGGGAAGGTAGAAACGAATACACACAATACCACGTGAGCGGGCAATGGGAGAGTTGCCTCATTCTGCGGGAGCCCAGAGCTGAGGGCACTGTCCTCTACCAGGGAGTCAGGGAAGACCCAAGGAGGTGACAGTGGCCTAGAATCAGAAAGGGTGAGCTTGGGAGTTCCAGTTTCCGTGGGACCTGAAGCTCACACAGTGGTGTGCATGTGTGCGTGTATGTGGTCTGGCTAAGCAAAAGGATGCAAAACCAAAATTGAGGACAAAATTGAATACTAATTTAGAATGAGAAAAGAAATCACAGCAAATTAGACTTTTTTTTCTTTTGAGACAGAGTCTCACTCTATTGCCCAGGCTGGAGTGCAATGGTGCGATCTTAGCTCACTGCAGCCTCCGCCTCCCAGGTTCAAGCGATTCTCCTGCCTTAGCCTCCTGAGGAGCTGGGATTACAAGTGCTCACCACGCCCGGCTAATTTTTTTGTATTTTTAGTAGAGACGTGGTTTCACCATGTTGGCCAAGCTGATTTCGAACTCCTAACCTCAAGTGATCTGCCTGTCTTGGCCTCCCAAAGTGTTGGGATTACAGGCGTGAGCCACCTCGCCCAGCCCAAATTATAATCTGAAATATTACCAAGTTCACGAAAGTCAGAAAAAGAATGTTTTTATTAATATGCCTGAATTGCCTCTAAAATACTCTTCCACAGTGTGTATTTTTGTTTGTTTAAACTTTGATAGCCTCTGATACGGTAATAATTTGTAAGGTCATCTTTTCTTGTAGATAGAATGTTAAAATAAGTCTTTCCTTTCACAGGTACATCAGTAACAAATGTTTATGATACTTTCACAATTCACCATTTGTAGAAACAATTTTTAGGATTGTTATCGATTTGGGAAAACCTCAAATCAAGGAGCAAGAATCATTTATATAAGAACTGCAGTATTTCAAGGCATTTCAGGTTTTCTTTTGCAAGAAACTTTCTCTTAATTTCTCTTTAAATTGCACTCATTAAACACTTTGTCACCAATACATTTGTGGTAGCAGCATATTGTAAGTTTCATGTTATCTTTGTCAATGTCAATTCATTCCAAATCAGCAAGAAATGTAAATCTTTTCTAAATACATTCATGTGATTTTCTCCTCTTCATTGATTGGTTAAGAAAACCATCCATCAACCAACTCACTATTCATATTGAAAGTTCATCTCCTCTTAATAAATTACATCCAGTATATGTTATAATTCACTCCTTGACAGAATGATCTTGTCGCTTATCTTTATAGCATTAATATTTATTTGAATATTCTCTCAGTTCTTTAATAAATAAATTAAAGATATCTCAAAAAAAAGGTTTCCATCAAGTA